CTTTAATGAATAAATTAGAGGCCAAGTTGGATTAAGTTTGGAAAACAAGAAAAGAAATCTAGACATCTTTATCAGGTAATAGAGACGATGACAGTTGGAACAATGAAAATAATTCAGGATCTCACTAAACTCCTCTTAGCCAATTTATATTGATCGAATGATATAAAAAACGTGCTCGGCAAAAAAGTTTCATCAGGAATACACTGAAAAAGCCATAAAATAAAGTAAATAAATAAATAAAATAAATTTGGATATAGCTCCAAATAATTATAAATTTCGTTATAAAAAATATCTCTTAATATTGGCCTATTATAAAGGAATGCAGCTTTCGCGTTAGTTCATAACAGCTTAGTATATACTATCCAAGCAAATTATTATTCGAACGAGGTTAGAGTTATCAGACTAAAGACACTATTAAATATGAAGCAGAACACTTGATTGAGGAGAGTAAATGAACCGTTTTTAATAGGAAGTTTTGTCTTGAATATAGTGTTGAGTAAGAAGTAAAAATTTACTAAATTTAGGCTGCTATATGAAATCAGGTGTGCGAAGACTAAGACGAAATGGTCTTTAGCATGGCCGCAGTTTTCTTTTGTGTTCGCAACTTGGCCGAATTGTCAGAGATGAACGCACCTTGTCCGGAGTCCTTAGTCATGATATCCATGATAATTCCCAGACGTCTCATTGGTATCACATTCGGCATCGTCTATAAGCCTTGCCACACTGGGAATGTACCAGGTTAACAGTCCGACGCCGGAAATTACTATGAATATTATGGCGCATTCATCTGGATATCTCTGACAATAAGACAAAGATGAATTTACAAGATAAACATATAAGAATACCTGAAATGCGACCAATTGCAAGTTCTTTTGGGCCTGACGCGAAATCATGTCCGCTTCAGCAAAGACAGATCCAGTACGGCCAGCAGAAGTTGGGTCACTACTAGCAAGCCCCTGAAGCATATGAGCCAGTTGAAACATGTGAAACGCCAATGATTCGGTAATTTGAGGTGGCAGTTCAGAAGGAGATGAAGAAGATTTGTCTTCTCGAAAAAGGTTCATAATACTAGTTCGTTCGGTTTCTTCTGTAGAAGATTGTCCGGCGAAAGAACAAAGTGAATTCTGAGGAACTTTATTTTTGTCGATTTTACCCTGTAAGTTAAAACCATAAAATATTCCAGTGAATACAACTAAATAAAAATAGAGTATTCAAATGATAAATTGCAAGAAAAAAGGTAAACGAATTTAGGTACAAAGTGACTTAAATTGAA